ACAAACAAGAACTTTAATACAACCTGTCACTCTCAATGCCTTTCATTTCTCTGATTTTGGGTTTAGGTTAGACCAGTGACAGCAGCAGCATTAGAAGCAGTCACCACAGCAGAACCACACCAGGAGCTATCCTAATGTCTCAACTCTTTCACCCGCTGAAGATACAGCGTGAAGAGGTTCTATTAGCAAGCACACAAGAACCTTCTCCAGTGCTGCCTAAGACTTGAGGAATCGAGCATTTAGCCACAGGACATTAATGTTGGAAAGATACTTTGTTGTGGGACAGTAATTAGCAGCTGACTGTGATAGACAGGCATGGATTTGGTTATCTCCCCACTGCCACAATAAATGGAACTGCTCTCCACACAGCACAGACACGTTACCCAGACTCCTAATGCAGCCTGAAAAGGTGTATCTCCTTGCCACCAGGATGATCTGCCCTTGAAGGAAAGCAAACTTTATTGACATATTTAAAAGATATCACTTACTACTACATACAGAAAAGGCCCATTTCCTGACACAGTCTGAGCTGCCTGTCTCTCATTCCTGTCCTATGAAGCAGGAAAAGGGACTTTAAACAGTTTTGTATTTTGCATAGCCTGGAAGGGCCCGGAGATACCATCTTTCAGCACAGACACAGCTCAAAAAACACGGGAACAGAAATAAAGTACACCTAGAGACTACCTTGATTCCAGTCCAGCTTCAACACCAAGTTGTAAAGCACTGCTTTGCCATACTACCTTACTTCACTCTATCTTTTCAGGATACTTATTATGTGATTGTCTTAAAAATAAACTGTATCAGGCTTCAGTTTCCTCAGCAATGATCAGCATTAGTAACGGATCCTGAAAGGATACCTGCTTCTTCCCTTCCCTAAGTAAGTAGTTTGATACACACTAGCATTAACCTCTTCTCTTTTGACTGCTCTGCCTTCTCAGCAACACACTAACCAGCATCAAAACCAATGCTACCAGAAACAACAAACTCAAATGTATTTCCCAAGATATAACAATAATTAGAAAATAGAAGAAATAGACCCAAAGACTTTTGAAAAACTTAGTTTTGATGTATTTCCTGCAAAGATCAAAAACTTAAACTTACTTGTTTTAAAGTCACACTGAACTACTCACAAGCAGGCCCATAAAAGGGATTCAGATCCAACTCACACCACGCAGACACCTCTTCCTTCCCTTCTCCTTTCCTCACCCTTTTAAAGGGGTGAAAATACCGCATATTTCAATGCATTCCATGTGTTACATGAAAAGTAATTACCCCCACCTTAAGACTTTAAATGATGCATCTGCAATGATCTTAGAAGAAACTTGCAAAGCAACTCCTACAGCAAAAAGTGGCACACGTGGAAAGAAATGTGCACTGGAAGAAATTACCCACTCAGAGGAAAAAAAAGTGAATCCTTTTATACTGAAAAGCTCTACACAGTGCTTACACCTGAAAAATGATTGGTTAAAAGCAAACAACTTTCCTCCCAAACACACGCATTTTCCTTGCGGCCAGAATATGATTCCACTCTCATCTTGTATTTTGAATGAGCTCATCTTAAAAAGCCATAAGCTTTCCCCACTCTAGTGGGGCAAAAAAGGAATTCAGCAGAAGTAATAGGTTTAGCATGAATAAGCAGCTGTTTACTCTGCATGCAATAAAACAGAAGCTGAAGGAAATCTTTTCAATTTTGACCTCAAGCTGGACATACTGCTCAGATAGCGCTCAGAGGTTTTTGTTTTACAGTGTAAGTCAACAAATCACCCAAAGCCATAATGCCATTTATCAATAACGTTCTCAATACATACTTTTTATTATCCTACACTATTGGAACTAACAAACATTGAGAGAGAAATGAAAGAACACACTTTTTACTATCAGGCTTTGTACAAATGCACAACGAAATATAACACTGCATAGAAGGAGACACTCTTTTTACATATATTTATTGAATGTATGCGGAGGCTGCCCCTTTTCTTTCATCCATCAGCTGTGCAGGTATTTATGGTTAAGAGCCCCTGGTGCCCAGAGATAATTGTTAACCTCAGTGACTGCCACACATGCACTTCACAGAGCCCAACACCTGCACAAGCTGATGAACTTCTAACACACGCTTACTTGACTCAGAGGCTTGGAAGGAAGGCCTAATCCAAATTTCTCCATCTGGATTGATACAGACCTATCCAGTTTCTGCCTCAAAGAGCTTACAATCTAGCTAATACATTTTTTGTTTTACTGCTGGACAAATTCAGGAGACGGGGAATGCCTGGTGTGCCTCAAGTTTCAGACATACTAATGAGAGAAAACCCCTTCAAAAGTCATACACCTGAAAATTAAAGAGATAGGACAACACAAAGTGAAGGGGAAAAAAATACAACAGCATTACTGACAACTGAAGACACAACCTCGCGTCTGAGTGTTACATATTACTGCTTCTATAGTCCAGCCAGTCTCAGCATCCACACCAATAGCCGGCTCAGGTTAGACATTCTCTATCCTAATAGTGTTCCACAGCTAACTACGGAGAACGGCGACGATGTCCCCCAGGCATAGGGAAGGGCCTGCGAGAGCAGCAGCACAGGTGAGCGCCGGAGCAGCCCCGGCCGCACACCAAGGCACGAACCCCACGGCTGCCGGGGAAGGGAAACCGCCCACGAGATGCTGTGGGTGAGGGAAGATGCTCAGGGAAAGAGGTCGATTTCTCCGTGGAGACACCAGCCTAGAAGGGCAGCGGGCGCAGGCAGCCTCCCCCGGCTCTCACGCTACTCCCTTCCCGTCTCAGCGCCGCAGGAAACGATCCTAGTTTTAATGGAGAGAAGGGGGGATTCTTTCTCGGGAGACGGACCCAAGAAGCGACACCACAACCCCCGCGGAGTTGGAAGCTTCTGGAACTTGCGTGTTTCGTTACGAGGGCGCACGGCCACCAGCACCTCCCGCCACCGGTTACCGCCGGGGCCCGGCCCCCGCCCCCCCGCAGCCGCCGGGAGCCGCCGCGGCCCAGCCGAACCC